ACTATCCCACTATATGGATAAGGATCCGGAATGAGTGGACGACAGCGCCTACAAACCCAGGGACTCTCACCCAGGGAGTACGAGGTCATGGTGCGGGAATTGTGTTTTGCGACTCGAGAGCAGATTTCCTCCCTCTATCAACTCCTTTTTTTATGGTCGGGAGGATCCACAATTCTTCTTTGATCCACAAGACCTGGATTCCATACTGAGGGTGCACCTTGAACCCTTAGAATTCAATCACCCTGCTCTATGCCAGGTCTTAGAAAGTCTATGTGTCGATAGGCATGATTCCCCTTTTTATCAAGATCTAAAAGGAACTCAAGCGCATCATTTTCGTGGCTTTATAAACTTAAAGCACCAAGCGCGATTGGAAATGCAACATCGCCTAGAGTTACGAGAGTTATGGAAATCTCTTGAGAGAAGGAACGCTTTTCTAAGCGAGGAAAACGCCTCTCTAAGAGAAAAACTTTTAATTCTCGACAGGGAAGCCCCATAAAATTCTTCTTTGTTGTGTTGCTGTCGTAAAATAGCGTTCTTCGTTCCGTCGTCGATCTTCCAATTTCTTCCGGTATGCCGCTCCGCCAGCAAGGAGCGAAAGAACCAAGTTTTCTGTGGTGATGTCAGAATTTGCACCTATTTGTATCTATTTAGTGATCAGTCCGCTAGTTTCTTTGCTCCCACTCGGTCTTCCTTTTCTATTTTCTTCCAATAGTTCGACCTATCCAGAAAAATTGTCGGCCTACGAATGTGGTTTCGATCCTTCCGGTGATGCCAGAAGTCGTTTTGATATAAGATTTTATCTTGTTTCCATTTTATTTATTATTCCTGATCCGGAAGTAACCTTTTCCTTTCCTTGGGCAGTACCTCCCAACAAGATTGATCCGTTTGGATCTTGGTCCATGATGGCCTTTTTATTGATTTTGACGATTGGATCTCTCTATGAATGGAAAAGGGGTGCTTCGGATCGGGAGTAACCACTAGTGAGAGGGCAAAAATTGGGGGGAAGGACAAAGGAAAGAGCGATGCCTACATTAAATCAATTGATTCGTCATGGTAGAGAAGAAAAACGGCGCACGGACCGTACTCGAGCTTTGGATCAATGTCCCCAGAAGCAAGGAGTATGCCCGCGTGTTTCAACGAGAACACCGAAAAAACCTAATTCAGCTCCACGTAAGATAGCCAAAGTACGGTTGAGCAATCGACATGATATATTTGCTCACATTCCAGGCGAAGGTCATAATTTGCAGGAACATTCTATGGTCTTAATAAGAGGAGGTAGAGTGAAAGATTCGCCAGGTGTGAAATTCCATTGTATTCGAGGAGTCAAGGATTTGCTGGGAATTCCGGATCGAAGAAGAGGCAGATCAAAATATGGTGCGGAAAAACCCAAATCGATATGAATGGAAGATGCCTCTGGAACTCGTTTTTCTCGGTAAGGATAGGTACGAAGTCACTCGACTGAAAGGAGAGGGAACAACCACAACGTTACACCCCAAAACTATACGGAGCCCTTCCGAATGACCTAGAATATAGTCTACTAGACTAGCCAAGAAAGAGTCTAGTAGACTATATTCGCCCGTGGAGGTGAGTGGAGGAAGCTGTGAAGCTTCTAACTCTAATTACCAACTCGGGACTATATTAGTAAAAAGCGGCATTATCCCTTTACTCAATCCCCCCTCGCTTACCACCATGAACAACACCTTTCCCGATCAATTGGTTTTTTATTATTTAATAAGAAAGATGGCAAATCCTACCATTGTATTTCCTTTTTTCATTTGGATCCTATCAACTTGGAGAGTGTCTAGATTAAGACACTTCTCGTATTCGGACTATCAAGATCGACTAAATGAGAGTGTGGCTGACATGGTAAAAGAACAAATCAGCCACACTTTTCTGGACCCCTTTTTTTGGGGAAAGGATAGTGGGTAGGGCTTATCTTTCCCCCAGACTACTTTACTCACTGGAAATCATTCCACGTACAGGAACTGGGAAAAAAAAAGGGCTCGAACTACAGGGATCTGATACCTTCTTCCCTTGGTATGAGAAGTTGGTTATGTAGGCTGACAACCTTTCCTAGGTTGTTTCGATCAGGCCAAATAATCGATTAGTAGTATGCCTGAGATTGCCAGAAGAACTTCCCCCTCTTGAAAACTGACTAATCAAACAAAGGGGGTAACTTTTTTTTATGAGGGTAGGGAGTTTGGGTTGGTGTTCAGTGTACCGCACTTTGGGTACAAGATCGGAAATTCCATTCTCTTTTTTACCATCTAAAATCGAAGAAAAGAAAGAAGGGCGAGATAAACAAATAAAGAGCTAACTTTCTTTAAACTTTCTTTATTATTATGTAAGATTATAAGGTTCAAAATTAATCGGCGCAGGAGCTGCTACAATTGCTTCAGCGGGAGCTGCTGCCGGTATTGGAAATGTTTTCAGTTCCTTAATTCTGTTGCGAGAAATCATTCATTGGCAAAACAATTATTAGGTTATGCTATTTTGGGATTTGCTTTAACCGAAGCTATTGCCTTGTTTTCCTTAATGATGGCCTTCTTAATCCTCCTTGTCTTTTCGAAAAAAAAAATAAAAGAGTGGAAGCGGGCTAGTCCCCGAAAATGCCCGGTACTTTAGCGTTGGGGACAAGTAAGATTATTATCTGGTTTATCCGCCATCGTTATCACAAATTGAATATCCTGTTAATGTGCCAGCCCTAGCCCGTCTTGCTCTTCCAATTCCATTTCGAGAGTCATCATAGCTCTTTTGGACTTATACATGCAGCACCCTTTTATCTTTCGGCATAGACCCTTCTTCCTCCTTGCGATGCAAAGGCAATGTCAGGGAGTCCGACTCTTCAATCGAAAAAAAGACGGTAGTGTGCGAGTCGGCTGGGAAAACACAAGCTTAACACGTCTTTCTTTATCTTTTTCATATCTGAATGTCTTTGTCGAGTTGGTTGGCATCATTCGTTCCTTTCTGTCTTTTCATTGTCCGCCTCCGCCCGAACAGATACGCACTAACCCACCTGAAATAAGGTAAAAGCCTTCTTTCCAACCCTTTGTACGAGACTCCTTTCTTCGTACAAATGCTCGTAGGCGAAAGAGACCTTCCTTTGCTCCTGTCGGCGGGATCAGCCAGTGTCCCCGTGTGTCAGGCCCTTTCCTGAAAGAGGTCGAATAGTTCCTGTCCCATTCATACTACTGTTGGCTTATGTGCTATGTCTAGCGGCTGGTGAATCCTACCCAGTATTCGGAATTGGGTAGGATATTTCCTCGGTTTCCGAGAAGGGTTTTAATGGCGACCGGACTCCTCTTCTCTGGAAGTCTAATGGTTTGGGGGACGTCGATTCCCTGGATTTTCTGGCTTCCCTTCAACCAGCCACTCTTTTAGTTCCCAAAATATATAGAATCCAGAATCCTTTTAAGCGCCTTATCACGAAAGTGACCAAGCAAGCAGATGATGATGGTTCAGTCGGTAAGCTAGCAAGCTTACGAAATGAAGGAAGAGGAGACCCTTCTATTATAAGTTGAAAGCGAAGTCGATAGTCCTCGTATTGGTAATTATTATACGCTAAAAGTCTATATAAGATATAGAAGGCAAAATATGAATACAGTATCGGAATTGGATACTGTATTCATGAATACAGTAGCTTAAATACATCTAATACATCTTATAACAACAAAAAACGTATCTACAATCCGTAATATAGCAAATGGTATCTATAGATAGCTAATTAGGGCGATGTGCACAGATAGCCACTAACAGCTTATGTCTTTATTTTAAAGCCAGCGTTTTAAATGTCTTTAGTCTTTAGCCACTGGTTTAATAAACTTTAACTGCTCGGACAAAAATACCCTTCTGCTCATGTCCTTAACTTCAGGACTTCAGGACTACATGTCCTTAACTTTTGAACTTGAAACTCTAAGTTCAGGACTTCAGGACTACATGTCCTTAACTTTTGAACTTGGAACTCTAAGTTCAGGACTTCAAGGTTACATGTCCTTAAGTTTTGAACTTGGAACTCAAACTTCAAGACCAAGCGTCCTTAACTTTTGAACTTGTAAGTCAAAGTTAAGGACCTATTGTCCTTAACTTTTGAACTTGTAACCATAAGTTAAGTACTGCTTGTCCTTAACTTTTGAACGTGTAACTGTAAGTTAAGGACTGTCTGTCCTTAACTTTTGAACTTTAAACTCAAAGTTAAGGACTGCATGTCCTTAAGTTTTGAACTTGAAACAATAACTTAAGGACGGCATGTCCTTAAGTTTTGAACTTGAAACAATAACTTAAGGACTGCATGTCCTTAAGTTTTGAACTTGAAACTAAAAGTTAAGGACTGCCTGTCCTTAACTTTAGAACTTGGAAATCAAAGTTAAGGACCTATTGTCCTTAAGTTTTGAACTTGTAACTGATGTCTGTCCTTAACTTTTGAACTTGAAAATCAAAGTTAAAAGATTTAAATTTGGGAGAGTCTGCGACATTATTCTTTGGCTATGAATTGAAATCATTATTTTTGTTTCTTTTATTTTGTGCTTTCCAACTGAACCATGCAAGGAGAGCAGAAGGTCTACACCCTACTTACAAAGTTCTGTTACTAACTTTTGAACCATGAATATTGAAAAGTTCTGTTAAAGAGCTTTTGTCTTTTAATGAATGCTTACAAGCGATGTGCATTAGAATGACTGTGTAGATAGGCTCCGCCACCTTAACATAATGCAACAGTTATGGAGAAGGCATGGAGAGAGAGAAGCAAGGGTTTGGGAAGAAAAGCAAGGGAAGAAAGGGTAAAAATGTCTTTTCATATTAATTTTAATAGGGCAGTGGATATTTTTGCTCAACATTAGAATTGCTGGATAAAAAATAAATACCACCTTAAATAGTGGCTACACCATGCCATTTCTACAGCTAATTACCACTAAAAGATAGTGTTTTATGAAAATTTCTCATAAAAATATACTTCTTTTTTCAACCCTAATAAATAAGTAATGTAATTTAAGTCCAACAACCCGACCCATCACCCAATACCCGTCCAGCCAAACCCGGGCGATAGAGTCGATAACATACTGTCAACAACAGTCCAATCTCAGGCGAATCTAACTTCAAAAAGTTTCGCCGGAAATTCAAGAATCAAGCTCCACTTTTCTTTTTTTAATCGCTTTGCTCCATTATTCAACGAATAGAGTTAAAGTTGAGAAATGGATGTTACATTGGCGACAATATTGTTGGGTATTTTACTAGCTGTTCTCATCGTAATACCTCGACTCCGCAGTAAATCTGGTAAGCTTTATCCAATTCTGTAACAGCTATTATAATTTGTTTTTCTATGAATCTATGTGGGTTTCAAGTGTTTTTATATCCAGAATTGATGTTTGATTATTGTCATTTGTTGTTTTATTATGCAGATCAGCCTGAAAAGGTTACTTCAAATGCTCAGAAACAGGTACTTTAATTTATACATTATGTAAAACATTTTTGGTCTTCTTGTGCCGAAGTTCTATCGGAAACAGCCTCTCTAGTCCGGATGAGTAGGGGTAAGGTCTACGTACACACTATCCTCCCCAGACCCCAATTTCACTATTTCACTGGGTTGTTGTTGTTGTATTTTTGGTTGTCTGATTTGGTCTATGATGAATTATTTTTGGTGTTAAATTTTAGGTCGTTTATGATTGATGCATTGCTCCCTTAATAACTATGGTTGTAAAATAATAGTTGTACTGATTTGGTCTAACTCAAACTCAAAAAACAACTCAAGCAATGAGCAACTAATATACTATTCTAATACCCCTGGCATGCCCCGGACAGGACGTCTAAAGTGTAGAGAAAGATAACGTGGACGGTCCAACATTAGGAATAGATCTAACTCTGATACCATGGTAAGAAAATGGATATTAGCTTGCTCAATTTTCAAAAGCTAGCTCAAATGATAAGGATTTCCTAAGATCATATTAGGAGACCGAGACTATAGGCCGTACAAGTAACTGATGGGGGATTCTAACGTTGTGAGAAGACAAAGAAGCAGAGACTGTTGTTAATGGTGTGACATCTCAAATTACTCCCGTCGTTTATTTGCAAAACTGGATAAAACGCATGGTTATATCACAAAAGTTGTGCGTTCCTTTTTTTGTAAACTCATGGATATATCAGTTGTAGTAGTGAACTTTGTAGTTTACTCCTCGTGTACTAGGTTTATCTCTATATAGATGATAGGCGAAACACTGCTTGAACTGTTTTTTTCCTCCTTTCCTTGAGATACATGTTTTATTCATAAACCTTGTTTGTGGCGTTTCGTTCGGTTTGGTGGGGGGATGTGGTGGGGGGTGGGGAGTGTTTAAGGAAATGGTAAAAGGACGGAGAACAACAAATTGGGTGGTGGTGTTTGAAACAATTATTCATTGTTGTTTCTCGCTATCGAAGTATTTGCTAGGCAACTGTACAAAGCTTCAACTGGCTGATCTAATAATCTTCTTTCTGTGCATATTTTTTGTGCACCAGCACTTGTATAATATCTTCATGTCTTTCAGTTTTCCTTTTTTCTCTTCTGATTCCTCTTCTTTTTCTTTCTTTTGGGATGTATTCTTTTTGAACTGAAGGCATTCAAAACATATAGCAAAGCTGAAGTTGCGCTACATAACAAGAGGACTGACTGCTGGATCATTATCAAAGAAAAGGTTTTATTAGATTTCTACTTGACCACATAAAGTATTACTTACGCCTGTATTAACATTAACCTTTCCTTTTAATGTTAATTTCCTAATATCTTTTCTTCTTTGCTTTTTTCTGTCTTTAGGTGTATGATGTTACCTCATATGTTGAAGAACATCCAGGGGGTGATGCCATCTTAGATCATGCTGGCGATGATTCAACTGAAGGTTTCTATGGGTAAGTCCTTGTCAAATATGTTTCTTTCACAATTTCAGTTACAGATGGAAATGCCAGAGGAGATAAATGGTTACAAATAAAAATGTCCATATTTGTCTTTTGCTTTAGTATCCCTCTGGTAATCCAATTTTTTTTGTTTTATAAGAGCTTGTCTTAAATATGTAATCGTCGAGCATACTTGATCCTATTCTGTTTGTGGTTCTCAGTTGCCGCCATTGCCTTATTTTTCAAAGTTTCATTCTTGGCTGTTGTATTATCTAAATAGTTGGATTCTATTAACCATAAAAATTACGGTCACATTCATGTTGCAGGCCACAACATGCTACACGCGTATTTGAAATGATTGATGACTTCTGCATCGGAGATCTGGAAAAATGATTACTTCCATGGATTGATAGGAAAATATTTATCCGGTTACAATTTGCCGTGTTCCCATCTTCCAATGCTCAATCTCTGCAGTGCTGACTTCCCCTATTTCAGTTTGTACTGTGGGCCTTCTATATTTAATCAGCTTTCCATGGATTTGAAACCCAATTTGTCATGTCCGTTGGTGTATGTGCCTCGGCATTCATTAATTGTTATTTGCAATTTTCCATGCCCTCATATGCCTTAGAGGAATCCATGTCGGAGTTCATTGCAATGGAGAGTCCAAAAGGAAATGACAAAAATCATTTTAACTGTCATCATGCACTTGGAAAGATAAGTTTGCTACACTGGCTCTACTTCTCATTCCAATATCTGTCTCAAAGTTATAATAAGATGCAAAACCTAGGTGGACTGCAGATTTAGAATATGGTCGAACCTTAATATTTGCATTGCTTTGGTAAGTTCTGTTGCTACTGGATTTGGTTGAGTATAAGCTTTGCCATAGAATAAGATCGGCAACTTATACTACACACTAATTTTAGCTTGAAACAGGTCATGTTCTTGTCAAACCAAGCAAGCAATTATCAATTCATTATGGCCAGCAGCAAAAGCCAAATTATGCCCATGCTTCTCTAGTTCAATCTGAAAGTCCAATCTTCTTTTCAAGCTTCTACTAACATAATCCCCTAAAGTTTCCTATAATATTACTTAACCTTGGTGAGGTGTTATTTACTGTCATGATAACTCTTTTTGCATCAAGCAAAAGACAACAATTGGAAAGGTAACGATTCACCAGAAAACAGGCACTGGAAATGAAATCCTAATTGAGTAGTTTTCTGAATCTGAAGCCTACACAGCATCTGCGATCATCAATAGTTCAATACCAACTTATATAGTCTAAAGATTCTTCAAGAGGAACTTTAATCTTTGGCATCTTATTCAGCACATTACCAAGAAGCATAGCTGTCGTATTTTTATATGCATGTAAAATGAGTGTTTTTCTTCTTTCGATTCGTATTCACTTGCATATTTACAAACCAAAAGAATCAAAATCGAAATAATACAAAATCAAACCGAATAAGCGAATACACATAGAATCTACTACGACAGATTTATCTTGTTCAGCAATCCAATATGTCAGAGAAACATCTTAAGCTCGAATTACAAATAACATTACAATTGCAGAAACCAACCAAAGCATGGGAGGTCTGTATGTGAAGAATGAAGTGATGAATTTAATATCCAGAAACAATAAGACCGATCATCTGCCACCATCTAACTGGTCAACCAATCAAATACAGCACCAGAACATGTTAAGCTAACATTGAAATGGACATCAAATTACAAATAACATTACAATTACAAAAAACCAGCCCAAGCATGGTAAGGCCTGAGTGTGAAGAATGAAATGATGAATTTAATAGCCAGAAACAATAAACCTTACACTTACAACCTATACCAATGAAGTGCCCTTAAATCAGGGATAAATAACCCCAAAAAATTGGTCCTGCAATTCCTTGGTCACTACCACCAAGGGAGCAAAAGAATCACATAATTTACCACTGTTAGGATCTTATCTAAACGTCATATTTCTTCGGTTGGCGCCACTGAGCTAGAGTTCTGGATAAAGAACTAATGATAGCAACCTTAGGTGTTGATCCATTCTTTCCAAGCAAATCTTTTCCTGCCAAGTCTGTAATTTTAGGAACCAAATGCTTGTGTCTGTCGATCTGCAAAAAAGGGATCGATGATGGCCTCAATTGTTAAATTCAATATGTTTAACCCAAATAGACCAACTCAGACACCGAAAACGGGTTTGATTTTCTCCACTAGAGTATCAATATAAACATGAGATACTACTCAACAGATAATGGGAGTTAAACTGAATATCAGAAAATCAATCAACCAATCAATGAACCATGCTTCAATCCTAAGTTAGTTGTGTTCTCTAAGCTAGATAACATAAATAACTATGCCTTAATCCCAAGAAAGTCAGGGTCGGCTGTATTAACCTTCATTTTCCATGTTGCTCCATTTAAACTTATGTCAGTCCAACATTATATAAAATAAAAAGCATAGAATAATAAAAATAAACAAGTATCAAATATAAAAATTAAGAACTAAATATGTGAAAAGATGAGTATCTTACCGGAAATTAAGGTAACAGATGAAGTAGTCTAACACAACTACACAAGACAATTAAAAACCTCTCTAGATACCCTTAGGTACCTCATGTGAGGATATTATAGTGTGAGACATTATATGACGCAACACCCTTCTCCACTTGTAACAGGATTTTGAATTTCACGTGAATTTTAATACATACTAGTGTGAGAATTGGCTTACTAAAGATTGATTATGATACCATATGAAAGATTCCAAGCATCTAACTTAAAACCTTAAAGCAACGGTTGATTAGTCCAACTCAAGACGTTTTAAACTCCTACAGATACACTTATACACCCAATATGGTACTTTATAAAATTCAAGAAAAAAGAAAATAAAATTGACCGAGTTAGTGGAAGTTTCTCTTTCTTGATCCCATAAAACATTATAAAATTCAAGAAAACAGAATAAAATTGACCGAGTTAGTGGAAGTATCTCTTTCCTGTTCCGATAAAAATAAAAAGGAATGCTTCCTTTTGACGCAGTTGAATAAAATTGCTCTTTGCTACATCTAGTCAAGATGTTTTAAACTCCTACAGATACACTTATACACCCAATATGGGACGTTATAAAATTCAAGAAAAAAGAAAATAAAATTGACCGAGTTAGTGGAAGTTTCTCTTTCCTGATCCCATAAAAATAAAAAGTAGTGTTTCCTTTTGATGCAGTAGAATAAAATTGCTCTTTGCTACATCTACTCACCCCCCCCCCCCCTTTTTCTTTCAGGTAATTAACCAGAGGGATAAAGCGAACTCCGTATCATCGACAAGCAGATACTATGAAGGAATACAATGATCTGAAAGCTGGTGGCTTAGGAGGGCATACCTTGTATATCTTCCCATCCTTCAAATGATACCGGATACCAGACCAATTGATGGACTGAGAAAAATGGGAACGCATCGCAGACAATGGGTATAAGAAATTGTCAACGAGCATTGCAATGAATACCTGCTCGATAAAACATCATTTAATAAAACATTAATGACTTATTGTGATCAAAAGCTACAAAACAGGACCATACAGTGAATTCATACTCAAATCTAATCATTTTTAAACCAGCTTGGTCCATGATTCTTTTTATAGGTAAAAATAAAACCACCTTTGACCATGTTACTCCCCAATTCCAAACAAGTTGGGCTTGACTATATGAACCCTCTGTTTTCAATATATAAAGAGCAAATAAATTTCTTAGGTAAAACATTTTAACCTCTCGTGGTGTCTGATTCACGTGCAAATGCATCCACTTTTCAAACTTATAATTGTTCGCAAGAATAAGTTCAGTAAAATCTTGTAGTCCACAAAGATCAAACCATATAAAAGGGGGGAAGAAAAGGAAATGAACTGTTCGGCCTGTGTTGCAAATCTGAATGGACTTACAAGGCACCAGTTATAAGAAGCAAGTGATAGTTGAGGTGCCTCCGGAGACAACATATTGCACAAGTGAACTTCAATTCTTGTCAAGTTCCACATGGAAAGAAGTTCAATCAGTGTGCAGATGGCAAGGCATCCAGCAAGTAACAACCCTGACAAAGTACCAAAAAATCATATCCAGCTTAAAAGAGGATGAAATATGCAAAGTTCCCAAAAATAAAATTACTGTAGCATAAAGAGATTTTTCAAGAACAATTAAGAGCCATTTAACATTTCAAGAAGCACCACCCAACCCAAAAAAGATCTTGCAATTCCCAACTACTTGGAATTGCACACTGGTATATACACATGCCGCTACCTAGGTTCAGAATAAATATCATCATTACGATAACCTAACGATGCACATGACAAAGTTTCCAGCACAAAGTATTCTACTTCTACTCACACAACAGTAGTGTGCTCACCATTACATGTCAAGACTGTATCATCAGGAGAGTATCCTTTAAAGTAAAATCTCAGTGCTGCTGCCACATGAATCCCAGCCATGACATATGGAGTTACAAAACCCCAAGACAGATAGCAGTGGGTTGTAAATAAAGCCCGATTCATGATCCAGTTAACTTTTGTTGTATATGACTCCAGTACAAATGTTTGCTTTCTCAAATAATTCCAGTATCTACACAATACCACAAGAAACTATAAGGAGAGCCTACAACAAGCAGTTATCATAATTTATCTCAATATCTCAACAAAGAATTTGATATATTTTTCACAAACCTAGGGAAGGTAAGATCGCTTGCAAGAGGATGTGGAAAGACTGCAACTGGTGGTGATGTAATGAGCCTCTTGTGTTCCTCTAGAAAAAATAGCAAAATAAATAAATAAGATTAAGAACCTGAAACTTCCACGCCAGAACCGAGATTTTGCACAGAAGAAAGTTAGTAAGGTGGAACTGCTCACATTAATTCCCAGAACATCCTAAAGCTAAATAAGAAGTACCAAAAGTCAGTAAGTGGCAATGGTCGTTAAGAGGGTCACTATTCAATATCTTCAAGAGGGTTATATAATCACCCTAAATACTATACCGAAACAATTACTACAACAAAAAATGCATACACCTACTTAAATTATGCATGTGCTGAGAAATTTCCTCCATTGTCAAGTAAATTACTACATAAAGAGGACTAGAGGAGAATACAAAAGTTCAGAGAACAGTAGATCTTTGCATATTTATGGGTAAGAGATGCATAGTCAGGAGAATTCGTAAAAAGCAGATAGTTGCAGAATGATAAGAATGGACATTGGGCCTAACTCAACCTCAAAAGCTAGCTTGTAAGGTGAGGATTGCCCAAGCCATATAAGGAGACCAAGGACCTCAAATCCCTCCGATGTGGGACAACTCAACACCTCCCCTCACGCCCAGGCCTCTGGAGCGTGGACAACATAAATGGGGGCCCAACATCGGTAACAATAATTGGGATGGGCCTGGCTCTGATACCATGATAAGAATGGACATTGGGCCTAACTCAACCTCAAAAGCTAGCTTGTAAGGTGAGGATTGCCCAAGCCATATAAGGAGACCAAGGACCTCAAATCCGTCCGATGTGGGACAACTCAAACACAGAATAACACAAAAACTAGAAACTCGGTATCCTTGGAATTTGGCTCTCCCAACTACGTTCTACGAGGGGGATATGCACCAGCTGCATTCCCGCTCTTGTGCAGTAACAGTTAGGGGTGAGCAACTGGAGATAAACTTTACCAGCTATAGCCGCTAGAGTCATGTCATCTGAGTAGCCACCATCTCGAAGCGCTGACACTACACCATGGCGATCGGTTCGAAAATCGTCTGCATGCATCTGGAATTAAAAAGGTACAGAATAATTTGTAACGAAATGCAATATATGAGTAACAAGCTTGACAAGAAGGGAACATCGCTATACTCATGAAACATGGAACAAATTCAATGGTAAAAACTAACCATCATGCATCCTCCCCAGAGGAAGAATGTTTTTCCACCAGTAGCAAATCCCATAGAACATGGCTGTAATTAAATGACAATGAACCAATACGAAACAGAAAGTTAGCAAAATGTTAAACTAAGTTAATATAAGACCTTTGCAAAGCCTATGGATGTACACTAAAGACACACAAGGGCAACATAGACAAATCACCCGAAATCTTATAGGAAGCTCAAAACCGTCATGTTAAAGGAGAAGATTCAAGTCGACCAGGAATCAGCATGTAAGAGCTGGAGCGCATTTCTTTCCAATGTAAGATATAATAACAGAAAAAACGCAAAAAACTAACAATTCTGTGTGCAGTTAAAAGAGGAGATAGAAGAGTGCAAACTATATAACTTTAAGCAATCATGGAAAATTAGTGTAAGCAATAAAGTTCTAAATATTCCCTTGTTGATATAAAAAATGTTATGGAAAAATGAAAACTTCAACCAACATGTTAAATTGAAAACCAGCAGAATGAACAAAGTACAAATCCAACACCTTTCAATTAGTGAAAACAAATGACTACGATAATGATAGACAAGCTTACTCTAAAATCTCCCTCCAGATTACAGAGATGACACATTGGAAATAGAAGCAAAAACCAAAAGGGACTTGACAGACACACAAATGAAAATAGAGATGTGCATAAATGACATACCATGTGATATTCATAAATGCAGTAACTTCCCAAAGTTCCAGATGGTAAATCGAGAGGATATCCTGTTTGAATAAAGATCTGGAAAGCATACAGACAAAGTATTACATTTCTCCAGTGTTATGGGTGAAATGAACATTGATTAGAGCTGGCATACTGTGCCAAAGCATAAAGTTGCTTCAGGATTTAGAAGATATTACCTCTGGATTCTTCTCCATTTCAGTAGTAAGGGCTCCAATTGATCCAGGGTGCAGTCTAACATCATCATCAAGGAATAAAACGTACTTGGTGTCTTTATGCATTTTCTCCACCCCAACCTATAAAGGGCACCATTATTCAGGTAAGGAAGATCAACGAAGCAATAGTTCATAAAATAACCTATTTACAGCGACCACCTAAATAATACATCTCGATTAACAGATACCACATTCCTTCTAGTCTAATCCCTCTTCTTCAAAATCCTTACACCCATCTGTTACATCAAATGGGCTAAATAAGCTCGAACAAGATCTGACTGCAATCTGACTCTTCTAAGGGACAATGGTTCAAATTGGTTTGTCCCGAAACAAAGAACGGAAGAAGCATAATTCGGAAACTGGAAAAGTAGAGAGAGAGAGAGAGAGAGGGGGGGAGGGAGGGGGGAGGGAGAGGGAGAGGGAGGGAGGAAGAGCAGAATCAAAGAGAAATAGGATGGGTTTCATGTGGGTAGATGACTTCTTTCTTTACTTTAGAAGTCTAGAGACAGTTGAAATAGAAAGAGAAATTAATGTACTCGCTTTGTGGCCTTCCCTTGCATCAGTCTGTTATGCCTACCATTAAATGCTTTCAATTTTTCAAGAGTTTTCAACATTTCATGCTCACAGTACAAAGCATATAAAATTTAAGAGATATTTTGAATTGTTTAAGTTGAGATTCAAGGAAGTTCCCTTAATGATAATTTTACGGTATCCTCTCTTACTAACTTATGCACCAACAAGAAAAGCACAACCCTAAACTCTGATAATACAAATTGCTCCATCTAGGAAAAGCAAAGAATGGTAAATCCTGTAACCATGCAATTCTAAAAGAGATAAGGCTTGGTTTCTCTCATCAACATAAAGAAGACGAATTAAAAAAGGAATCATGATACATACCAATTGATTGTGAATCTTCTGACTACAAGTTGTTGACAGGCCGGCTACAATAATTTTAGCATCAACATCCTGTAAGCAGAACACAAAACAATGAAGAGTATAAGAAATGCAATGCATACATGCAATGGGAGCATGAATACGCACCCAGACTGATAAAAATTCTAACTAAATAACACAGAAAATGCCATATCAAGGAAATAATTGAGGTAAACAACTTTCATCCTTCGAATAATAATGAACGTCTTTCTTTTTTGGTACGGCATAAAATTTGTTAAGCGTCCCACATTGATGGAGGAAATAGGTTGTTGTCTCCTTATATGGTCTTGGACAATAGTCATCTCTCGAGCTAGTCTTGAGGTTGAGTTAAGCCCAAGGTCCACTTTCTTCACATGGTATTGGAGGCTACCCCATTCTTATTTTTGGTTTACCTGATATTGTGACCCATGTTATGTTGTCCGCCCTACAGATATCTAGTCCTGAGCCTTG